TTGAATATTATTTTTTTCATCATTTGTTGAATATGTACCATAGAGACGTAATCCAAAATAGCTCAATTCACCTGTATTATCTTCCCTTGCTGATTTTATTGATCCATCATTCTGTGGTGTACGGGTTTCAATACGTAATGTCCAACGACCAATTGGAGATTCACCCCATTTATGTGCGGACATAAATGGAAAATATTTTATACCTAAAATATATATATATATATATATATGAACGATTTCATTCATTAGCTGCCGTGATACAAAAAAGAACAAAGGTTTTCATTGTATACGTTTCGATTTACAAATATTGCCAGTTCAAAGAACATTTTTGAAACTTAAATCATGCGTTTTATAGAGGACTCTTCTGACTACAAAATATCTGCGTAGAGGTTTTTTTACATAAATTGATGGAAAAAGAACTTGTTTAAAGAAGTAGCCCTTATAAAGAATCAAAGTCAAATCGAAGATGGTCGTGTCCTATTTTTGATGATTTTCTTCATATACAGGGTGATTCAAAAGTAACTCGACAGTCTTTGATTGCATATAACTTTTGATATGCATTAAATCATATATTACAGATTTTTCTAAGATGTTTTCTAGAGTTTTCTTAATCAATTTTTCTAAAAAAAAACTGTCGGAAAATTGGTTTCGTATAAAATAAGAAAAATGTAAAAAAGTGATTTTTTTTTCACAAAACTGCATGGAAAAATGGACTCAGAATTTTCAGTAGAATACTTATAACTTCTGAAGGAATAACTCTCAAAGTCTGACCTTTGTACAGTTTTGTAGATTTTCGACTAGCGATTCGAATGGACACCTGATCATAAAAATTCAGTATAGTCACCTTATGAAATACGTCGGTTTAAGTCCTTGAAAAAACTAGGTCAGCTTATCTTATATTATACTTGTTCGATGTATCTTCATCTACTCTTTTAAACAGTAAAAATCGCAGCTCTCTATCTTGTTCCTATCAAGAGTTATTCGCAATCAAAGATCACCGGATTACTTTTGGACGATTGTGTATTATATTAATTTCTATTTTTTTAAACATTCTTTTCATCTCACTAAATAAGATTGTCAATGAAGTTTCTGATAAAGTTAAAATATCTTTTTAATAAAGCCCAGGATCGAATCCAAAAAGTTCGATTTGTTTCAAAATAAAATTCTACTAAAAGATCTTTTACGAATGCCAAACTCATTATTAGTCATCTTTTTTCTTTTTAAATTTTCATTATCAGTTAACAAACCTTTCTTTCTTTATCTATACTCTCAAGGAGAAACGAAGAATAAATAAATAAATACCTTTTTTCGAAGCATCATTATCTCGATAAGAAATCATTTCTGAAAGTGTTCCACTTGGTGATATTAATGTAATTTTGACATCACCACGACGATGAAAACTAAATGATACATTAGCTTGAACATGTTCAAGACTTGTTACATTTTCACATTTGTCAACATCAATATGTACTTCAACAGTAGCATCAATAGTTAATGAACTATAAAAAAAATAACAATCAATTAAAACATTTCAAGTCAAAAAAGAAAAATTTAACAATATTCCTTACACACTAGGACCTTTATATTCATGATAACAATCATATCTTGGATTAACATTTGTCCAATTTTGTGCTAAAGCAATCATTTGTCCAACATCAAGTACACCAAAACCAAATTTATCACTAACATGAAAACCAGCTCCATTAATCATCCAATCATCTGTTTCAGATAAATTTGGTATACGAGATGTTTCAGCTATAATATGCATTACATCACGATATGTTAATTCTGGATTTGCTTCAAGTACAAGTGCTAAAGCTCCAGCAGCAACTGGTGCAGCACCAGATGTACCAAAAAATTTTGTTGTACATTTTCCACCAACATCAGCAGCAACAACACCTACAGGAATAAATGGTTCACGAAATGAACGTGCATGACGACCACCAGTATAAGCAACAGCCATTGTTGATGGACAAAATTCACCAAAATATGTTGTTTTACCCAAATGATTTATTGAACCAATGGATATTACATTTGGATGAGATACATATCCATCAGCACCACAATCATCACCAGCTGTTCCACCATTACCTGATGCCCAAACAAATAATATACCTTTACCTTGACGACCCTAGAATTAATTAATACAAAAAAAAAAATATTTTTAACAAAAAAAACAAAACCTATTTACATGTGTAACACCATAATCTAAAGCAGCATTAACAAGTGTACCTGGTGCTTCCATTTTTGTTCCATCATCAGTTGGTCTAAATAGATATCAATTATTGTTTTCGATTTAATAAGAATAATATTTATTTTACCCCCATGATGCACTTTTAATAGATGTATTAACAGCATATAATGTTAATGCACGTGCTTCAAGTAACGTTGTAATACGTCCATCAAGAAGTCGAATACCTAATCGAATTAAAAATAAAACCAATATATATATATATATATAAATAAAAAACAAAGAGATGACTATACGTTTTTCGACTATAGAAAGACTTTATCTAGTAGGGTATGTCAACGGTACACAGTAGAACTTAATAACACATATCCTACTAGATGAAATCTTTCTGTAGTATAGTCACCTTTTATATTTTATCTTACCAGCAATATATGAATTATAAGCAACACCAACTCCACATATACCATTATTTGCTTTACCAGATGATGCTCCAGCACAACGAGTACCGTGACTAAAATAAAATGTAAAGTAATTAATCAAAAAAAAAAGTTAAAAGATAATAGAAAAGAGCGAAAAAGAAGAAGAACATGCATTAATATACACACACACACACGCATACATCATGCTAGTTAATTGAGAAATCTTAGTGTTATATATTAGTAAAAATTCTATAGTATGTTGCATTCTCATCTTACTTATTTGCACTATCATAAGTTCTTGGACTTGGATCATGTTCAGTATCGTTAAGATCATTTAAATCATAACTGAACTGAGGTTGCTATGCGCATAAAAGAATATCAATATCCCAAATATATGTGTATATATATATATATATATATAGAAAGATTATATTCTGTTTTTCTCCCAATTAATCAAAAGATAGTAAAAAAAATCTATTCCCCAAGAACCAAAAAAGTAAATCATTTCTTTTATACTTACATATCGATCATTTAATTCTGGATGTTTATGATCAAGACCATCATCAATAATAGAAATTGTAATACCTCTACCAGAGTATCCAGCTAACCAAGCTGGAATAACATTAATATCATGATTTGCTGGAGTATTTAATTGACCTTCATTTTCCTAATGGAAAAAAAATAAATCTTTGGTATAACAGAAGGAATAGTCGCATTGTGTATCTCATCATTCAATACATTCTATTTAAAAACAAATAGGATGCCGAGTCAAAAGCTTTACAATTCGCCAACATAAGTTTATTTGATATATATACACTTGGTCGAACAAAACTTTCGTCCATTTTGAATATAAAAAAATGCATCCCATGTTATAACAACCGATCGAAAGTCGTCGATTTTTCTGCTGAAATTTTTTAATTCTTAGAAAAATGTCAGATCTTAGACGAAATCGCATTCCTATAGATTTTTGAACGCACTGAAGTTGTCTGTACTAGATATTAGAATTTTCGATTAGATGCAGAGCTTTTCCCAACCATAAAATGTTCGATGTTCTACCAATTTTTTATCGCTTCGGAATAACTTTGAACAGCAATGAAATTTTGAAACATCATTTGCTTTTCTCTGGCAGAAATTGAAATAAAAATAAGCAGACAATGTCCTTGCAAAGTGAATAGAATTAGGGAGACCCCGGAGAAGAAACGGCCTAGTGGCAGACGTCGAGTCATGATGATTTTCACTCTACCTACTTTCTGTCGGATTTGTAGTTCCTCCCATCTCTAGAAACTATTGACAACTCTGCTAGCTACATCGACTGTTCTAACTTGTTTGCTTAGTATAGACGACAACACAAAAATATTCAATAGTCGAAAGATAAAACCAGTAGAAATAATGGTAGCATCATCTAATACAATATCCTGTAATCCATAAAAGCTGTCTTTTTTGGGATGAAATCGATGTTTTCACTACAGACGAAACCAAATTAATAGAAAAACTAATCAGAAATTGATATAAAATGAGTAAACCCTCTGAACGGACGATTTTACCAAAGAAATCATATGGAATATGTTCAATAAACTTTTCTTTATATTTTCACGCTACAATCTGTAATATATTTTGTTTTTTTTAAAATAAAATGTATCGAGTGATGAAATGCAAAACGTGACCATTCATCCATTATATTCTATTCGTTAAAATTTTGATTATAAAATGATAACATGAATGATATACTTACTAAATACCATTGTTTCTTATAATAAGTATCATCAAAAGACATTTTAAATGATGAATTATCAACAACAGATTCCGTATCAATAGGTAATTGATCATATTTCCAATGACGATATTCTTTATATAATTTTTCTAATGCATCATCATTGATAAATTCACGTTTATGTCTTTCTAGTGATTCACCAACAGTTATATATTCAATCTTAACACAAAAAAAAAAAAAAAAAGAAATATTTCTTCGAAATAAATCTTATTTGAATTACTCGTTCATCATGTTTTAAATCTTCAATAGTTTCATCAATAGCACGTTTAGATCTTCGACCATGTTTTCGTTCAATACGAAAATGATGTAAACCAATTCCAGGAATCTATTTTTAAAAAGAAAACAAAAACATTAAAATAAATAATCTTATTTAATAATATTTACATGTCCAGCATTAAATAAATTTTTTTCTTCGGCTATAAGATCTGCTATAAGATAATCTCGATTATCACCTATTAATCGTACACCAATATCAATAAATTCAACATCATTCTCTTCTTCATAAGTATTAACATTTAAAACACATAGAAATAAAATAAATAAAAAATTCTTATGCATCTAGAAAGAAACAACAAAATAATAATAAACAATAAATATCAACTACACTGATAATGTATTTTTATTTTTTTTTCCATAATTGTTTTAAATATATACATTTCTTTTCAATAATATCTTCTGGTTCTTTATTAGCTGGTCTCATCCATAATAATGGATTATCAACTTCCATTAAACCTCCTAAAATTTCTCGACCAAAATATAATGGAAATTGACCACGTTCTTCAATCATATGTGCATAACCATAAAGATTTTCATTTTTACTTTTATCAATTGGAAATTCAACACAAAAATATGGTAAACCTTTTGGTATAACAGATTTTAATGTACGTGAACGATGATGATTTAATTCAATAAGTTTTTTATTTGTTGACCACATTGATTCACTTTCAAGTAATGCTTTACGAAAATACATTGGAACTAAATTTGCTTGTTCTATTGGAACTGGAATACATTCAATATACATATGTGGTAATAAACGAGGATTTTTAAATGTTTCAATAAATATTGGTAGTTGATTATGATGTTTACGATATAAATCAGTTAATTGTTCTTTTAATGTATCAAGTTCAGAGAGAACATCATCGTCTAGAATAAATATAAAAATAAATATTTGTTAACTGTTAAATAAAATTAATTATCATTTTACTTTATACATGGTACCTTTAGTATGTGAGATAGTTCAAGAAATGATATCTTATCGTTTATCACACATAAAAGCTGTTTCAAAGCAGAAAATTGCTCTTTATAAACGGCATTGAAACGTTACTATATGTGTCTAATCACTGCATACATATAATAACATTTCGATGCCGCTTATGAAGGGTAATTTCTTGCTATTTCCTACTTCAAAAACGGTGTTCAATTATGATAAACTGTAAATTTTGCATAAAACATACTGGTTTAAATGATAAAATGTCATTTCCCTAATCTACTTGGGTAATCATATGTATTTCAATCTGCTCTATTGATTAATAAGATTACCTAATGTTATCAGTTTATTCTCCTAAGTATATTTTTTTTTGAAAGAATATCTAAAGAACAAAGTACAATATAATATTATGCATGTGTAGTATTAAAACACATATTGCAGCGATTCAAGTAAACTTCAACTATACAATAAATGCTTACATTGAGTTTGCGCTGTTAGACAATATAACGAAAGATTTATGTTGTCAGCATACTTGATTAGTTGTTCTGTCGTAGAAGCGTGGGAAGTGTTATCATAGATTATTTTTGAGATAATGATTTCCTTATGAAAAAAACAATCAAACAGAAAATACACTATTCTAACTAATTGTTACTATGCAGACTCAAGCAAAATGATTTTGATTATGTGTACATATTTTTTGATTGCATTATTTATTTGCTGACCCGGTGGCTACAAAGAAGTGTTAACCATTTCTTTTTTTTTTTCTTTAGCTGTAATATGTATTAATTCAATATAAACACTCGATGACACGTTTTTATCTTTGTTCAGGGTTATCGATGGGAAAAGAACAGAGGAAAGTTTCCCTTCTGAAAAATTCCGAACTTTCTAGAAAAATTTTTATAGTCTCGTGGAAAATAATAACAGAAAGGGAATTTTAGCTGTACTTCTGACACATATTTATATGAAGATGTTGTCTTTCAAACAAAATATTATAGAAAATCAATGATTTCAATATCTTCTCTTTGATTTCTATCCTTCATAATTATAATGAAAGAATATATTCAAAAAATAAAAATTTTGCTTTGTCTATCGTAGATTAAGTTCAAGACAAAAAAAAAGAGATTTACGATATGAGAAAAAATTCGTCATACATATTCTACATTGTAGAATGTCAAATTTGACGATGAATTTTTAAATTATATCACATATATTATCTATTGTATCGTATTTTTTTAAAATTGAATCTATACAAACGAAAAGAAAAAAATTGACAAGTAAAACTGGATACAATCATGATTAATACTTAATTACAACTACATGATTCATTTATTTATGCGTTTTCTTGAAAAGTTTATTCTACTCGCACTTCGGTAATAGATTATTATTATTTTCTGATTCATATTTATATTGTTATAATATCCCAGAGAACGGTATTGTTATACATATCGATATCTTACCTAAATGAAATCGACTAGATGTATGTTGAATAGGTACAATAAAACAATGTCCATCAACAAGTGATTGTTGTGGTGGTGCACATAAAAACCATTGATCCAGTAAACCAAAAATAAATGATTTTGATAAATTTTCAATACATAACCAACATTGTTCAAATGTTTTTTGTCTTTTTTTTTGTTCAGCTAATGCTTGTATACGTGACCAACCAGATAAATGACGTGTTGATGTTAATAACTGTCGATCAGCTGTCATTGTTTGATTATTTCTATTATTTGGTAAAACAGGCATTGTATTTGTTGTTGAATGTCTTTCCATTTCAACAAGATCATTTAATGATAAACCTTGTCGTTCTGGATCTTTATCATTTTGACGCATTTTTCGAATTTCTTTTTTCATTTTTCGACGATCACGTTTTTCTACATGACCATATTGACGTTGATGACCTGGGTCATGTGCATGATGAATAGGTTTTTCAACACCATAACGATCAATTGTTGTTAATACAAGAACTTTTGGATCATTAGATCGTTGCTGTTGTTCAGTTGTAGAATCATGTTGTGAATTACCACGAAGATTATCAATATTTTTAATTTCATTACGAAGTAATTCAGTCATTTCCTAACAAATGAATATTTTTATTATTATAAAAAATAAATAAATAAATAAATAAAATCTTACATCATCACCAGCAAGTTCTGCTCGAATAAGTTGTTTTCGTAATTCTAATAGATTTTCTTCGGATATTAAATCATCTTCTTTTGATTCAACATCAATTGTTTTTATTTCTTCTTGTTCATCTGTACGTGCTTGTTTTTTTGATGTTGATTGTTCATCATCATCATCATCATCTGTTGTTCTTTTCCATGATTTTTTCTCATGATGATGATGATGATGCTGATGATGATGATGACGATGATGACGATGATGTCGATCATCTTTTTCATTTGGATCAAGAAATTTTTTCTTAGAAGATGAACGATGATGAAGATCATCAGCATCATTTATCAATGACATTAATTTTTCCATAGACTAAAGAAAATAAATTATTGAAGAGGAAAAAATAAAACAATGAAATTTTTATTAAATAACTTACACCATATCGTTGTGAAACAATTTCATTTAAAGGACGTTGCTCATCTTTTGCTTGTTGTTTACATCGTTCATAAGCTCGTCGATGCCATTCAAGACCAGCATCACCAACTTTAGTTGATTTTGAATTTTTAGGTTCAATTGGTTGTTGACGTAATGCTGGATTTAATTCACGTTCATTCAGAATTGCCTTTTTATTTTTCAAAGAAAAAACAAGTGAAAATCAATTAAACAAATTAAGTTTCAGATGCTTCTTTCATGAAATAAGAACATCAAATCTGATGGTTTATATGAGTGATGTAAAAGATACACGATAACCATAGTTGTATCTTAGGATAGGAACAACAATTAGATTTGAAACATTCACAAAAAACTATTCTCGTTAAGGTCTGCCTCTATACAAAGTTTCAAGTAGAAATTTAAAAAATATCGTAAAAGTGCAGTGTCTCAATAGCAATAATACTCTTTTCACGGTATTTACAGCATATTTCAGTCTGCGTAATGCACATAGTTTCGACTCAAAAGCAATTTGAAAAGTTGAAGGTATTTCCTCCTAAGACCGGGATCGTAAGTAAGCCCGATATTTTTTGAAGTGATTTTCAAAAAACCCTGAAGATCTGTTTTTAAAATTTTTTTCTCGGACACGGACTCCATCATTTTCAATTATCTAGCTGTGATAAAAATGTGAGCCTGACTGATTATACTCTTACGAAGAACTAGAAACAGTTCAAAAGAGAAGGAACATTTCGGTAAGAAACTAACTTCCATTTCAGCTGTCGTTTGAGCTTTTTTTATTGCTTGTTTGTTCTCTCGTTGATAACTTCCGATTGAATCAAAATCAAATGGTTCAAGAGCAAATGTTACTGGTGCAGGTTTTTCTTTTTCCTAAATTTTCAAAATAAGGAAAAATTCAAATTTAAAATTTTTTTCTTGTTTACTAATTGTTCTAAATCAGCTTGTGTTGGCATTGTTGGTCCTTTAACCACAGCACCACCGGGAACATCATTACTATTATCATTATGACCAATTTCTTGCCATTGTTCTTCATTCTAAAAAAGTAAACCAGACGATTTTTGTTTATTAATTACAAAATCTTTTTCATCTAACTTTGTTTGAATTTGATGATGATGATGAAGTAGAACGACGGTGATGATGACGGTGTTTTTTATGTTTATGCTCGTTTTTCTTCGATGATTTATCCATATTTAATTACGTATCGATAATTCAAGTGGGTATAATATGAAAAATTTATATTTCTATAAGAAAATTTATTCATGTCAAATAAGTTTGTTTTGTAAATAGTCGATTAGATATAAGAAAAAAACTAATCATAAAACGTCATGAAGATTTGTGTAGGTGTTTGTGATGACAGCATGAAAGAAAGAGAAAGAAGAAGGGGGACGATGTAAAAGAACACCTCATTAATCATTTACAGAAAAAGAAAACTTCATCGCATGCCATAAGTCTCAATTGATATTGCGAAAAAAATAATAAATTGTATCTGTAAATAGGTCAATAAGAAGTATCCAATGAAAAAGAATATAGTGATAATGACATCTATAGATGGATAGAATGAAGTTTTTTCATTTTGACTTTTTCTTTTAAAATAATTTTGAGATGAAAGAGAAAAATCAAATTTACGAATTATTGTCCTTATAATGGTTGAAATTACTTTTGAAAATATTTTTACTAAGTTTCAATTGAAATGAAAATAACTTCATCTCTTAAGCTGAGTCATATTGTAAACAAACTCAATGTCAAACCTATAGAGACTTTTTTCTGTATATTTTCTTATTCATCGAAAAATATTTATAGAGTTGACGGTTTTATTTTCCTATTTCATAGTCGAGGCATACCGAAATATTGGTTATCGATAAATGGTTGATTATCAAATTAATAGACGATCTTGAAACAGATCCTGAAGCTCATAGAGCTTTTTTAATTTTGTAAAATATACCTTTCTACTCGGTCTCATACAACAGCGAGTGGATTTAATGTCTTGAATATTTTATATTATGTAATGTGAGCCAAAAACAAAATGAATAGAATGTGCAAGTTCAGTGAAAGCGATGTTTTTCATAATCAATGTTAAGGCAGCAACGATGCATAAATGTCCATTATCGATAAGGATGATCAGTAGATTTCTATGAATAATAATTCCAATCATCTTCCAGAAGATGAGGTTTTTATTGCCAGTATTTTTCGGATAGTATAATACATCAAATAGAAATTGCAACATGTTTCGACATCTATTCACAAGGTCGACGAACGATGAACTGATCAGTACGAGGAGACAACAGCTAATGTCAACTGCTGTGTGGTAAGATTCATCGAATTTAACAAGTTATTTCTGTTAGATCATAAAGACGAAAAGAACTCCACATTTCCATTGCTTCTTTACTTACAAGACTATCGATTTTCGGATATTATTAGTTTCTGTTTTGCAAGAGACCACAACTCTCTTTGACCGTAATTCTGAGACTTTACTCATTCATGTCGAATGATTATATTTGATGGAATATGTACTTGTAACAGTACAAAACGATAAACCAGTTTCGTTGTGCACACACATTTGAGTGAAATGGTTAATGACAATGATGATTAGGTCATTCAAATGATTACCAATGACGTTCTTATTCGCTACAACAAAATAAAATAAGTCCACTAGGTTTTCATGGTTTATTGATTGTTGACAATATTGTGTGTAGATTTTAGTGCATTGTCTAGCTACTAAAATTCATTATCAATGTAGCTTCACATCTAATTGAATTAGTCATAAACGACGGCAGAATGTTGTGAAATCATTGTTTTCTAAACTGAATGAGTTTCAACTATATGAACTGCTCCGTTTTGATACAAATCGTTTATTGAAAACAGCAGATAAAGGTGCACACGAAATTAATTATCGAATGCGTTAACTTGTCTATGGTTTAATACAGTGAAAGGAATTATAGAATTGACCTTCCACAGATATTTAATCGAGTGAATTTGTATCGTGAGCAGCTAGCGTCGACAACATCGACGATCTGGTTAGAGATGATACTTAACCTTTGAAAAAATTTTACTAGACCAGTTAACGTCAAAGTGGCATATTGAACATTTTAACTTTTAAGAAGTCAGAATCAAAGTAATAATTTTTGTTGTTATTTCTCATACCTCAGATTTTGATAGGACTATTGTAGACATTATTGCAATAGGAATGATTTCTTGTGATAAGAAAAAAGCTTAGTAAAGCTAGAAAATACTCACAGATTGAAACATTTGGGGTAGACTCTTAAAACTATATACCTGCATTAGCAAAAAAATAACTACTGATTTTAGGTAAACCTTACTGTCTCATTTTGTACTTAATGATTATTCAACTTGTTGTGCTATGAGTATCTTCAAATATCATAAATAGCGTGGTCTTCTTCAAAAATCTTTCCGAATCAGTAGGACTAAGTGTTCTGTTCGCGAATATCACTTTTGTTTCAAAACTTAATTGAGTAATAAAAAAGATCGAGGTGTTCTTTCGAAAGTCTAAAAGATCATTTTTGTCTACATTAAATTCAATCCAAACCATCTATATTATATTCGATAATATCAGATTCAAACAACGTCGAATTGCTATCTCTATCAAAATCTACTAGCATCTTTTCAATATTTACAGATTTTTCTTATTGGCACATGTTTGATACCAACCTTCTTGAGGATCTTTCTTAAAAACCAATATATTTATTGATAGTACGACAAAGTAGTAAAGATGAACGTATCAACGAAATTTATTTCTCAAAGCGCTTATTTACAGCTTTTAATTTCATTTCGGAAATATGACTTTTTATAGGAATAAAAAAACAGGATCAACAGAAATAGTTTTCAACTGAAGTGGTATCTGACATGTGTGGATAGAGAGATATATAAATTTCCTAAAGACGCTTATAGATTTTGATATAGAAAAATTTCTGTAATGGTGAATCTATCATTATCGAACGTGAAATAGGTGGTTTGTATCGAATTTCAGTTAAAAACATAGTTGTATCAAACGTGAAAGTTGAATTCAATAATTTAATAATTGAAGTAAAGATAATCAACAATTCTGAGATGCTACAGGCACTGTGCACACAGAGATGTGTATGGATTGCGGCGATTTGCACCCCCACGTCGTGATGTCGATATAACAGGTCATTTAGGCGGGGAACAACGCTTCCTTCTGGTAAATATTCATGATGACAACTTTGAATTATGGAATAAATAAAAAGGAAATGAGACATCAATTACTTGTCGGGTGTATCCGTCTTTCGCGTCACCAATAATTGAATAGTTGAATTTAACTTTCAAGTTTGACATATATGGTAAAAAAATGCTTTTTGGTCGATCAGACGAGTACCAAAATCTTTCTTATTATTCAAGTTTTGAAAATAATATGGTATTCGTGACTAAAACAGTTAATCCCATTTGTTAGAGAAAATCTTGAAGAGTACAGAAAAACATTATCCTCGCCGTCACACCTTCAATTTTTTGTGTTCCAGTAAAAATCAACTTGTGAGTGCTTCATGCTATATCAGTAACAATTTTCTTGTGTTTTGTTTTAGAATGATGAAAGTAACGAAAGCTATGGATATGATCAAGAGAAATCTCTTAGAAGGACAGAGGTATGTTCAGATTTCCAAAAAAGGAAATTACAGAAATTTCCGAAGCTTTCATCAGCTCGATAACTACATAGCAAACCAAATGAAAATATTTTGGAAATATTGGAAAGTTTAGAAATTTTAGAATTTTCTGTAATTTCGGAAATTTCGCTATGTATAGAATTTTGGACATTTCAGAAATTTTGGAAATTATATAATTTTGAGAAGTACCAAACAATTTAGAACACAAGTGCTTGAAATTTCCAAAACTTCCGAAATTTCCTTTTTCGGAAGTCTGAACACTGCTGGAAGGACAGAATAAGAGGAAATGAAGTCGAGGAAAATAATAAGCAAGATGCGTACAAGTAACCTTGACCGTCATAGTTCGAATGTTGAACAATGCACTCGTAGTATCATCTTCAACCAGCATCCATATATTCATCTGTCCATGCAATCAGAGAATGGTATACGCACATGTGATAACTTCATTCAGTTCGACTCGATTTGATCTAATTAAATACAATCGAATCCAATTGATGCGAGTCAAATTAATTGGCTATTGGAATCAGGTTCAGATTTTGGCATCCACTATTGTCTAAATGTGGCAAATTAGAACGCACTGGGTACAGGAACGATTATACATGAAGGAATCAATTGTATTTATGCTGAATGTCGAATATCAATTACAGGAACACTCTAAGTTAAAATGTGTCGCATGTGTCGTGATTCGCAACACATTCCACGACACGAGGTGCTCGTTGCGACACATTTTCTCCAGCAAGCGTACGACACATCCGACACATTCTGAAATCGCGGTTCGAGCCTAGGTTTCACCGTAGCTATAATTTTGTTTTCTTTGATGCATTATATCCATCAATATTTAATTAGCACAATTAACATCAGTGTTTGATGCAACACCGTTAAAAAGTCTGATCTTGAGATCCAACCGTGCAAGACTAGTCAGATCTTGATCAGACTACTGCCAGGTAGATCTCTCTTAAAGTGAGGTCATTATTTCTCGAAATATTTACAAGAGATATGTAATCGAGAAATATATTATATAAAATGGTGCATGAAAACTTGTGATTCTCATGTGATAGTTCAGATAGATTATATATAGATATACACGCGGAACAAAATAGTGAATGAACAGTCGTCATATATGTACAGAACGGTTAAAAATACGACACATTAAAGTGCGACACATTTTCTTGCTGGAACCCACGACACTATAATTTACGACGGAAAAAGTCGACACATTTTAACTTAGAGTGAAAAGAAAATGTTTTATGAACATGTCCGCATTCAGTTTTTATTCTGCATATTCATTTAGTCCTTCACACATGTGCTCATTGTGGACTGCGTCTATTTCTCCTTTTTTTCGTCGTTCTATTCGTGCTGATGCATTATTCGTCTTTGTCTCTTGAACGGCTTGCGTTGCCAAAGCAAGACCAATTGGTGGCATGTTAATATAGATCGCTTCATACTCCCCATCTTTTACTTTGTATGTTTCATGCCATACTCCATTTACGCCACTGAAACGATCATGCTTCATATACTCCAACATTGTCTTCACATGGATGCCCATTTTTGTGT